AAATAAAATGTGGTATGCTTCTGCAATGAAATATTATTTGGCAACAAAAAGAGTAAAGTACAGATACATGCAATGACCTGGATGCCTCTTGATTCTGCTAAGAAAAATAAGCTAGTCACAAAGGGCCACATATTGTATGATTCTATTTATAGGAAATGTCCAGAATAGGCAAATCAATAAAGAAGGAAAATAGATAAGTACTTGCCTAGGGCAGAGGGGCAAGCATGGGAGGGTAATGGCTAAGGAGTGTAAGGTATCTTCGTGTGCTAATGAAATGTTCTAAAATTGATTGTGATGGATGTACAACTTTGTGATATTCTAAAGCCATCATATTGTAGTTTGGTTGAATTGTATATTATGTGAATGATGTCTCAAAGAAGCCGTTTAAAAAATTAGGTCAGCAGGCCAAGTGTGGTGGTTCATACCTGTAATCTCAGCACTTTGGGAGGCCAAGGCGGGGATATCACTTGAGCTCAGGAGTTCAAGACCAGTCTGGGCAACATGGCGAAACCCCGTCTGTACATAAAATATAAAAATTAGCTGGGTGTGGTGGTATGCACCTGTAGTCCCAGCTACTCAGAAGGCTGAGGTTGGAGAAGCACTTAAGCCTGGAAGACCAAGGCTGCAGTGAGTTGTGATCATGTCACTGCACTCCAGCCTGGGTGGCAAAGTCAGACTTTGTCTCAAAAAAAAATTTTAATTAACAAATTAAATTAAATCAGTCAGAAGGTCAGACGTGGTGGCTCACACCTATAAATCCAGCCCTTTGGGAGGCCAAGGCAGGAGGCTCCTTTGAGCCCAGGAGTTCAAAAACAACCTGTGCAACATAGTGAGACCTTGTCTCTAAAAAAAAAAAAATCCCAGCATGGTGGCTCAGGTATGTAGTCCCAGCTACCGGGGAAGTTGAGGCAAGAAGGTGTCTTGAGCCCAGGAGGTTGAAGCTGCCATGAGCTATAATCATGTGATATTGTTTGGCTGTGTCCCCACTCAAATCTCATCTTGAATTGTAGCTCCCATAATTCCCATGTGTTGTGGGAGGGACCTGGTGGGAGATAATTAAATCATGGGGGCGGTTTCCCCCATACTGTTCTTGTGGTAGTGAATAAGTCTCACAAGATCTGATGGTTTTATAAGGGGAAACCCCTTTCACTTGGTTCTCATTTCTCTCTTGTCTGCCACCATGTAAGATGTGCCTTTTGCCCTCCACCATGATTGTGAGGCCTACCCAAACACATGGAACTGTGAGTCCATTGAATCTCTTTTTGCTTATAAATTACCCAGCTTCAGGTATGTCTTTATCGGCAGCATAAAAACAGACTAATACATCATGCCACTGCAAACAACAATAACAACAACACAAAAAACAACCAACCAGATAAAATTCATCCAGGGTAACTGTCTCCAGGATTCCTTCTGTGTCCAGAATAGGTATTTGCCTTCAGGGTCCCCATAACAGACATTTTGAATGGACATATTAGGATCTTTAAAAAGTGTCTTGGAATTATCTTTTTATTTGCCTGCTCTTCCACTCAATTCTTAATTCCTTAAGGGCAGAAAGCATGTCTTATTTTTGTAGCTAGCACATAGAAGGCACTCAAATAATTACTGAATGAACAGTGATTATAAATCTTCAGAACAACAATCGAACCCAGTGTAATCTTCAAAATAAATATGTGAAGGAAAAAGTAGCATAGAATTTTTCAAAGCATAAAAATATGTATCATTCCAAAAGCATTAGGCAAAGATAACCATCTCATTTTCTAAGTATTACATCTTACTGAAATAACATATATGTATTATACACACGTTCCCCAGAATTATTCTTTAAAAAATGAGTGCTTTAAAAAGGTTAAAGCACTTAGCACAGTGTCTACCACGTAGTAAATGCTTAAAATGGCTTGGCTCTGTGTCCCCACCTAAGTCTCATGCCAAATTGTAATCCTCAATGTTGGCAGAGGGGCCTGGTGGGAGGTGACTGGATGATGGGAGTGGACTTCATAGCTGTTCTCATGATAGTGAGTTATCATGAGACCTGGTTGTTTAAAAGTGTGTAGCACTTCCCCCTTCGCTCTCTCTTCCTCCTGCTCTAGCCATGTAAGATGTGCCTGCTTCCCCTTTGCCTTCCTACCATGATTGTAAGTTTCCTGAGGCCCCCCAGCCATGTTTTCTGTGGAACTGTGAAATGATTAAATCTCTTTTCTTTATAAATTACCCAGTCTCAGCTAGTTCTTTATAGCAATGTGAGAATGGACTAATATAGTGCTCAATAAATATTAGCTAACATTAAAAGACAAAACAAATGCTAATTAGAATTGTCTCAGTAAACTTCTATAAATTCAGAAATAGGGAATGAAGTAGAATCATGGATGAGTTAGCTATAAAGCAAAAAACAAAAAACAAAAAACTCTCAAACATACTGTACTAGAACATACTGTACTAGTCCTATACTAATATCGTAGCTGTGAATAGCCACAGCAAAGGGTATGATCTAGAAAAGAATAACAATAAAGAACCAGTCTAACTTAGGCACTTATGGTAACAACAAACAAAAAAATGTGACCCTGCACATTTTCAAAACAAATATCATTATATAATAGTCAAAGTTGTGATTTATTTAAAACCAAGTCCATCTTTGCTTGGGAAATATACTGATAATTCACTAAAATGATTAAAATTGACACATGGCTTCCAGGCATTCAGTTATGTTACACTATCTAATTCAGCCTTGATAATGTCAGATGTTTTTGCCTAGGAGTAACAGAAAACCCACGTCAAAACAGATTATTAACAAAAACAAGACATAATCAAACAGCCTGAAGTAGGGAAACTCTAGAGTTGGCTAATTCAGCAGTTCATTGACCCATTAAGGACCTGAGATTATTGTCTTTGTGCTCAGCATATCATGGATGCCCGTTCCACGTTTTCAAAACAGCTACAGTAATCCAGGCATCACATTCTCATGCTCCGACATCCAGAGCAAGGAAAAAAAAATCTCTCTCTCTTTCTCTCTGAATCTTTTTGAAACCTTTTCTTAGTTTAGAAACTTTTTCTAGAAGCATCTCCAACAGACTTCCCTCCTGCCTCATTTGCCATAATTGAGTCACAGGCCTTTCAAAAATAATATTGAAAATCAAGAAGAGGATTTCCCTGCTTGATTTGGACTAGTCAAGATAGACCTCCTTTGGCTGGAGCTTGAGGTCAGTTCTCTGAAGCATATGGCTAGGAAGAATATGGTGTATACCTAAACCAATCTGGGGTAATGTTGGCAAGGCTGAAGGTGGTAAATAGCTGTTGGTTAGGCAGCCAACAGTGTCTGCTGCACAGCCACAAAAATTAGCTGTAAACTTTTGGCTAGATCACAGTATTTCAGACTATTAGGAAGTTGTTTTTTAAGAGAAAGCGTTTTTGAACCTGTATAGATTTGCAATTTATGTTGTCCTAGCTCCATACCCCTGCATCATTAAATTTTTTTATTTTTAAGTTTCCAATTTATTTATTTATACTTTTTGTTTTACTTGGTATAGTCAATTTTTCATTTTAGTCATTCTAATAGAGGCGCAATGGTATCTCATTATGATCTTTTTTTTTCCTTTGTTTTGTTACATAGGTAAATGTGTGTCATGGGGGTTTGTTATAAAGATTATTTCATAACCCAGGTATTAAGCCTAGTATCCATTAGTTATTTTTCCTGATTCTCACCCTTCTCTCACCTTCCATCCTCCGACAGGCCCCAGTATGTGTTGTTCCCCTCTATGTCATAAAAAAAATTTAGGCAATTGTTTCATGTAGAATATTTCAAAACCCTGGTCAGTCCCCAAACTGACTGATTTCTGATTTTGCAAGAAATCAGAAATTAGCTGGAAGCTGCTGAAGAAAAAATAAAAGTTGTCAATAAACATTTATACCAGATCACCTACAGCAGTCCTGTTTATCAAGTGAATCAGAAGTTTTGTCCAGACCCACAGAAATGAAATGGAGGGTTGTTTTTTCTTTTGGGGGGGATTTTTTTGCATAGTGGTATGTCTTTAAGCTAAATAATATAACCACTTATTGATTGGTTATTAATTGTAATTCTAAAACTTAACTATTATGTGGTAGGTCATTGAATTGGATATTTCCTGGCCTTAGGTTAGTAGGTGTTTGCTCGATAATTTAGACCAGGGGTCCCAACCCCTAGGCCATGGACTGGTACTGGCCTGTGGCCTATTAGGAAATAGGCTGCACAGTAGGAGGTGAGTGAAGCTGAGCTCCTCCTCCTGTCAGATCAGTGGTGGCATTACATTCTCATATAAGCATGAATCCTATTGTGAACTGCACACGTGAGAGATCTAGCTTGTGTACTCCTTATGAGAATCTAATGCTTGAATCATCCCGAAACCATCCCCTGCTCCCCCGGGGCCACGGGAAAAATTGTCTTCCACAAAACCAGTCCCTGCTGCCAAAAAGGTTGGGGGCCACTGATTTAGCCTATACCTCAGAGCTTGTTAGGTGATAATCACCCAAGTCCTGCTTATTGCCCTTGTAAATCAGCTTAAGGCAATACTTATCAATAGGAAAACGTCAAACAATATTAGGGTCACCATGTCTTCCCTGATGATGTAATTAATTTTAGAGATGCAGTAAGGCCTTTTATGTAGCATTATCCAGAGTTCATTCAGATGTGTTCCAGTCCTTTAAACTGAGGGCTAAAATCAAAGAGGGCAGAGACAGAGTAACTAATATTCCTTGAACTCTGCCAGGGGCTTTTCCTGCTTCTTCTCCTTAATTTACTTCCTATAATAGCTCTGTACAACTCAGTAACCCATGTTATAAATGGAAAACCTGAAGACCAGAAAGGTTAAGCAACTTGCCTAAATTTATATCATTAGTAAATGGTGGAGCCAGTCATTCTGACTCTAAAATCCTTGGAGCCCTCTAAATCATAATGCAATCATAAATAGATCTGTGGTATCCGTACATTTATTTAAAAGTGTGTGGAATATTCAAACACAAGACAGTTATCTGTTGCTGAATGATATTTTATTAGCTTGATAATTTGGGCCTGCCCTTAGCATTAATAAGCTTCAGCACTAGTCACAAGACTTTCATTCACTGGCGGGGAAACTTTCTTGTTTTAAAAAATGCAATTCAAGAAAGGGCATCTATTTCTTGGGGGCTGCGGTGACAGCAGGCTTCTCTTCACGGGTGATGGGAATGGTGCGCTCAGGGCCAGAGACCTGTTTCCTTGGTCCATTCACAGTGAGGACCCCATCAGATGACAGGGATGAAGTAATGGTGAGAGGGTCCACATCAGCTGGGACCCGGTATTTCCTGTGGAACTCCCTGGAGATGAAACCATGTTCATCCTAACCCAAAAGAATGAGGAAAGAGGCAGAGAAATAAGAATATGAACTACTATCACCTGCCCAGAACTCAGGCATCCTGATTTCCCCTTAGGTGAGACCAAATGCCATGACAACATAGGAAAAATAAACAGTGCTTTGTTTCAGGGTTGTGGCTAAGATGAAGTTACCTAGGTAGTCACTCCTACCAGTGAGAATCTGAGAAGTCTGAAACAGTACAACACTTCATTGTTTTTCAAACCCTGAGGCATAGATATGTTTAGGAGTATTTCCCAAAGGTTTAGATAATGTTGACTGGGCCTACAGAATTTGGAATCTCATTTAGAATCTGAGTCCCTGAGGAAGCCCTGAAATTGTCCTGACTCTTCAGGAATGTCCCAGAAGGTTCCAGAACAATAGGACTGCTGCTGGGGAAAAAAAAAAAAAAAAAAAAAAAAAAAAGACTCCATCCAAGGAGACTATGACCCAAACCTAAATCATATGAGCAAAATTGAAACAGCCTGATGACATTACTAAGGACAAACTGTACTGGTTGACGCACAGGTTCTGAGCTATCGCTGAGCTATCGTTAATTGGTGAGAAGGAATTTTAAAGCCCTCTTACAAAGTCATGAAAAGCTGTTCCATTCGTCAGAATTCCCCCAAAGAGTAGATGACCTTAACCCGTATGCCTGCTGACTCTCAAGCATGTAGCCAAACAGGCTCTCATTAACTGATTTCCGCATGGGCTATAGGGGATTAAAGACTGAGCACAGCTCTGAAATTTAGACAAACCAAGTAGTTCAGCATTAAGATGGGCTAAAGAAGAGACATGGATTCTTGCACAGCTAACAGAGAATTCACAACTCAAGTGCCTTTAGGGTACCTGTAGTTAATGTAATTATGCAAAGCAACTAGGTGTCTGACAGCCCTATACCTAAATCAGTGGTCCTCAACCTTGACTGTAGATTAGAATTACCTTAAAAAATGTTGATGCCCTGGGTCCCACCCCTAAAAATTCTGATTTAATTGGTCTGGAATATGCCTGAGCATTAGGTTTTTTGAAAGTTCCCCTGGTGATTCTAATGTGGCCAAGATTCAGAACCTCTGGCTAAGATGGGGCATCAACATCCCATCATCCCATCTAAGGCGATCAAATCAAACAAAGACCACATCTCTGGCCATAACAACAGTAACAACAGCAATAGGTCTATCCCTAACTTAGTCTTCTAGACATTGATTTGTAACCCCTGATCTAGACTATTATAGCTTGGGACTGGAATGTAGCCAGCCTCCAAAGCTGATAGCACTACCTGGACTATTACAGTATACACTGAATGAATGAGCAGAAAACAAAAACCAAGCTACATACCTGGCGCTCTTCATGTTTGCCATGCACCTCAATCACATCTCCCAACACCTTAACTTTGAGTTCCTCTGGGGAGAAGTGCTTCACATCCAGGTTGACAGAGAACCTGTCCTTCTCCAGGCGCATCTAGAAATAGCAAGGTAAGGGAATGGGACGGGAGAAAGATGGCGAAAGTACTCATTATACTGGTGTTGTCTTATTCTGCAGAGTTGCTTTCTGTCCAGGTAATTCATCCTTCTCTTTTCTGCTTTAAAATATCCCCTTTTTAAATAAACATGGCTCTCTGCTTCAGGGAGCCACCACAGTGATACCTAAGGCTCATGGTGATCAGACCCAAACTTTATTTACAGGGACAGAGAAGAAGACAGATCACCCAGGGGACCAGTCGCAAGGATGGGTGCAGGCCTGGCATCTGCTGCCTCTCTGGCTCCGATGCCTGGCTTTGTGGTTTGTCTGTGAGACAAAGGCCTCTTCTTCTGGCTCAGGTCTCTTTGCCAGTTTTCCACCCACCCAATCTGGAATGTTCTGCTGGTCCTGCTTGTCCTTCCAAAGCCCTTGCCCACTCATCTCCTGTTTACTCACACTCGAATATTTTTAAACCAGAGCGTTATCTGTGACAGCTTCTGTCAACCTTATATGTTCACCCTGTTCTCTCACCCTCTTAGGACGAGTGGGGGTCCCTATATTGTTTCCTCATAAGGCTTGGTTGGACCCAGGCCAATGCCCTGTCACAGCCCTGAGAAACCCAGAAAATCACAGAAGAGGGAATAAAAAGGCAGAAAATGCCCATGAGGGTGAACAGCTCAGGCAGGGTGAGGCAGGGCTCTCTCCTGGCTCTGACACCTGAGATGGTAAAATTGGTCAAGAGTCCATGGTGTTAGAAGAGATGAGCAAAGGAGTTTGAAGGCAGCTCTTTCCCTGCAGATTGTTATGAACCAAACCAGAAAGGGGTACCCTGCAGAGAAGTTAGGGGATGGAGGATGAACTTGACAGTGCATGAAAAAAATGTAATAAATGGGATACAGAGGACCATCAAGTAGAAACAGGTGACGGGGGAGGGAGGAACTAGCAACCTCCTCATTTTTCTTCACATTTGGATACACATGTGCCTAAAATGGTTTAGGCAGGAAAGGAGAGGAAAATGGATGGAGAAGTTTACAGGAGGTTCCAGTAAGGACTCTCCCATTCTAGCAGTGGGGAGACTCACCTCTGAGAGTCCAGTGTCAAACCAGCTGGGTGCCCGCAGGAAGGAGGGTGGCCGAAGGTAGAAGGGGCTCAGGGAAGTAGACGTCGGGAAAAGATCAGACTCCAACAGGTGCTCTCCGAAGAACTGGTCAAAGAGGCGGCTGGGGGAGTGGAAAGGAAAGAAGGGGCGGCGGATCCAGGGGTGGTGGATGGCGATGTCCATGGTGGCTAGGTGAGTGTGGGGGGTCAGCTGGCTGGTCAGCTCCTTCAGCTGCAGCTACAGCCAGCCCCTTATATATGCAGTCTTGTGAAGCTTCTGGAATGGTGATGTCAGGGGTTTTATTATCCTAGCTCACCGCCGGTTCATGGAGACTTGTGATCGGGGATTTGGCAGTGTGACACATACCCAGTACTCACTGAGCTAAGAAAAGAGAAACACAAACACGTCTGAGCCGGCCAGTGACTTGTCATGGTCTTGTTTCACTAGCTTTCTGTACACACCCAGTGGCACCCACCCCCACCCCAGTTCTCTGAAGCTGGTACAGAGTCAGGAATCCCAAGCAGGCACGCGGGCGGGTGGGGGGGCAGGCGGTGGAGTGTGCCCCTCCTCCTCCTCCTCTTCAGTCCTGAATGCCAGGGGAATCAGGCCAGCAACTATCTTGGGCCTGGGCAGGGACTGGAATCTTCCTAGGCTGGGCCCCAGGGACATTAACTCTTTGTGAGTCCTTGGAAGAGAGCAGTGATGGTCAACATGTCAGTACCAGCCATCTGCCTCCTGCCCTGGGTTGACCTGGGTTTAGGAGAGGACTCCGACATCTGGGCAGAAAGACCCCACTCCCTGAAAAAAAGAGCAGAAAGATTTCTTGCATCTTTCATCCTATGTGGCTCTCAGAACATTAAATCCAGGAGTGCTTTAGGAATTGGGTGCACAGTGCCGGCCTCCAAGGAGGAGAAAATGAGGTGTGGAAACGTGCAAACCGTTTGTGAGGGTCTCAGCGAGGCCTCTTCATGCCCCAGGCACCACCAGCTACCCCTTCTCAGCTCGTTCCTAACCAGGACCCTCAGCTGTCCTCTCAGGCCCCCTGCGACAGCTGAAGAGTGTGCGGGGGAGGGGACTAGGGGTCCAGGCGGCGCTGGTCACACCCTCGTTGCTCTCACTCAGGGCCCCCACTCCCCGCCCCTCCCCCCCAGAGGCTCGGCACTATTTTGGGTGGTGTCGACCCCGCCCCCACCTCCTATCGAGCCCTGGCTCTCCGGGCAGCTGGAGGGGTCGCGCTGCGCCTGTTGGGGCTGCACCTCGGACCAGGGCTCCCGCTGCATCTGCAGCCATGTCGGGCCGCTCAGTGCCACATGCCCACCCAGCCACCGCTGAGTACGAATTTGCCAACCCGAGCCGCCTGGGTGAGCAGCGCTTCGGAGAAGGTATGGCACAGATGCCACCCCCTTGCCTCCCACCCCCACCCCCTGAAATTCTGGGCTGACCTCCCAACGTTACTGGCCTCCACCCCACTCTGGGCTTAACTGATCTCCTGGGACCAGCCACCCCCCACCCCAGACTCCCTCTCATCCCCTCCAAGCAGAGCTCTTTCCCATTCCTGCTGACCTCAAGACACACTTGGTGCTTGCAGTGCTGCTACCTGCCCTTTGCCCGCCTGGGTGTGCCTCCTTGTCCCCCTTCTATCAACCAGGCCATTTGGTGCCTCCTCCTCCCCCCGCTTCTCCTCCTCCTCCTCCCTTTCCTTTCCGTTCTCTTTCCCCTCTTCCCAGCTGCCTTCTCCTCCTAGCTACTGTGTGGCCTCCTTCCCGTTCCCCACTCCTCCTGACTCCCCTCTTGCTCTTCCCAATCCCTCCTCTCCAGATTTCCCATTTCGCCCCTGTGCCAGCCTCATCCTCCCTCATCCTGCCTCTTGCGTTCTCTCTGCCCCTTAGGCCTCCTTCCAGAAGAGATCCTGACCCCCACACTCTACCATGGCTACTATGTCCGGCCTCGGGCCGCCCCAGCTGGGGAGGGCAGCAGGGCAGGGGCCTCCGAGCTTAGGCTCAGTGAGGGCAAGTTCCAGGCATTTCTGGATGTGAGCCACTTTACCCCAGACGAGGTGACTGTGAGGACTGTGGATAACCTGCTGGAGGTGTCTGCCCGGCACCCCCAGCGCCTGGACCGCCACGGCTTCGTGTCCCGAGAGTTCTGCCGCACCTATGTCCTGCCTGCTGATGTCGACCCCTGGCGGGTCCGAGCTGCTCTCTCCCATGATGGCATCTTAAACCTGGAAGCGCCTCGGGGTGGCCGACATTTGGACACAGAGGTCAATGAGGTCTACATCTCCCTGCTCCCTGCGCCTCCTGATCCAGAGGAAGAGGAGGAGGCAGCCATAGTTGAGCCCTGATTGCCACAGACCCAGCACCCAGCAAATCCCTCTCTACCTCCCATGGTGATATGGGCAGCTGCCCACCACTCCAGAGGTAGCAGCGTCCTTGGGGGAAAGGAAAGGTGCATGGTCTACAATGTATGGTTTGGTCCCATGGGACGTGTCATAGCCTTGGTTTAGTTTTGGGTGGAGCCGAATAAACCCAAATCTCAGGGCCTTGTTTGTGCTGCTCCCTATTCTGTGGCCGGCAAGCTGGGATGGGGAGGGAGGGAGGCGGTCACAGCCAGCTAGACAAAAAGTTCCTCAGTTTGATGTGCCTAACGTCATAGGACCCTGAGCTCGCACTTGGATACTGAGATCACACCCGGAAGCTGACGCTGGCTCCAGATCAAATTCCTAGCCGTGATTTTCTCACAGTGCAACAAAAGAGAGAGTGATCCTGGGAGAGAAAAGGGATATGCCATCCAAACAGCCCAGAGGGCACTGTCTGAGCTGGTGATTAGAGACACAAAAACAAGGGTCTCCAGACTGTCTGGCCCGTTTTGGGTAGGGGCTGGGAAAATGGTTTTTGGCTGATGAGAGTTGCCTAAAGCCCTGGAGTAAATACTTTGTTTTCATGTACTAAGGTCTGTCCACTGAAATGGTCACTGATTTTGAGAGCCCGAGTATGCATACACAGGGGCACAGACACAAAGCCTCTCCAATGATCATGGAACCCCATTACCTTCCCGTCCTCTGGGGGTATGGTGTATTCAGAAAAGCCTGAGGGTCTGTCCCCTCAGTTATTCTCTGCAATCAAGAGAACATCCAGCTAGGTGATTTGGGGGAGGTGTCCAAAACGACCTTCCTGCCTCTGAATACATATTTTATTAGGCTGTGGTAGATACCTACAATTCTTCCATTAAAGTAGTTGTTTCTTGGCTGGGTGCAGCAGCTCACACCTGTAATCCCAGCACTTTGGGAGGCCGAGGCAGGAGGATCACTTGAGCCCAAGAGTAAGAGACCAGTCTGGGCAACAGAGTGAAACCTTTGTCTTTACAAAAAAATAAAAATTAGCCAGACATGGTGGTGCATGCCTGTAGTCCCAGCTACTTGGGAGGCTAAGGTGGGAGGATGAGCTAGGGAGGTTGAAGCTGCAGTGAGCTGAGATTGCACCACTGCACTCCAGCCTGGGTGACACAGTGAGACCCTGCCTCAAAAAAATTAAATTGAATTAAATTAAGTGGTTATTTCTTAACTTTTGGGAGTTATAGACCCTTCTGAAAATCTGACAAAAGCTATAGCTGCTCTTACCAGAAAAATACATATGCTCCCAAATTTGGCAATACAACTTGAATAGGTTCCCACAACTCTTCAGACCCATTCATACATCCTTCTTAGGGATCTGTGGACCTCCAGGATAACAGAACTCACTTGAGGAATTCAACTTCTGGTTGAAAGATTGCTGTCTATTAAAAATGAAAGCATGCCCCAGAGAAATAACATTTGATATATTTAATTGTTCATTCATTCATTCAATATTTATCAAACCTCATGTAATACACCATGGGGAATATATATTGTAAATATAAAAACTATTAGCTTTTATTGTGAACTTTCCGGAATCTAGTTGAGAAGAAAAATAATAAGAAAAGGATTCCACTTAGACTTCAACCAGAATAACTTCACATTGATATGTTTTGTAACTGAGCTTTATTTAAGGGAAAGGGTTTCTCAGCTATAAAAAATTTGAAAACTTCTGATTTAGTCCAAATCCCCACTCCATTCAAAATTCTTTTAAAGTTATTAATCAACTTATTCGGGGACATTCTGAATGACAGACAACTTAGAACTTCCCACGGTAGCCTGTTCCATGTTCTTTCTTTTCTTTTTTAGATAGGGTCTCATTCTGTTGCTCAGGCTGGAGTGCAGTGGCCATGCCTCACTGCAGCTCACTGCAGCCTCAACCTCCCGTGCTCCTCATGGCTCACTGCAGCCTCAACCTCCCGTGCTCAAGCAATCCTCCTGCCTCAGCCTCCTGAGTAGCTGGGACAACAGGTGTGTGCCACCACGCCTGGCTAATTTTTTACTTTTTCTAGAGACGAGATCTCGCTTTGTTGTCCAGGCTGGTCTTGAACTCCTGGACTCAAGCAGTCCTCTAGCCTTGGCCTGCCACAGTGCTGGGATTACAGGTATGAGCCACTGTACCTGGCCCTCCATTTTCTTTTTGGTCTTAACTGACTTAACCGTTATAAATTCCTTTGATTTTGTTGAATCAAAATCTGCATTTCAGTAACTTCTCTGAAAAACAAATGCAATGGTTTTTTCACTTGAAAATCCTTCCGATATTTAAAGATAACCATCCTGTCTTCCTGAGGCTTCCCTTTCCCAGCTAAACATGCCTAGGTCTTTTTTTTTTTTTTTTTTTTTGAGGCAAGGTCTCTCTCTGTCACCCAGGCTGTGTGTGCAGTGGTGTCATCTCCCCTCACTGCAACCTCCTCCTCCCTGGCTCAAGCAATCCTCTCACCACAACACCGGGCTAATTTTTTGTATTGTTTTGTAGAGACTGGGTTTCGCCATGTTGCCCAGGCTAGTCTTGAACTTCTGGCCTCAAGCAATCTGCCCACCTCGGCCTCCCAACATGTTGGGGTTACAGGCGTGAGCCACGACACCTGGCCATGCCTTGTTCCTTCAACCATATCATATAGCACTTTCCACATCACATATTACCCATTAACTTTATTTTGAACATACTGCCTTTTGATAACGTAGCTTGAATTTCAACATCTAGGCCTAAAATTGTTATTCCAGTCATGGATTGACTGGTACAGACTTCAGTGGAATAATCAATATCCTTGTTTATCACTTCAGGCTTCTATTAATGCTGCTTTAGGCATATCAGGTTTTCTGGCTACCACAATGCTCTATTGCTCTATGGATTTCTTTGGAGTTTCTGGTCATCTAAAAATCCCTTAGGTGATTTCCTTTTCTTTTCTTCTACTTCTTCTTTTTTTTTTTTTTTTTTTTTTAGAGACAGTCTCACTCTGTCGCCCAGGCTGAAGTGCAGTGGCGTGATCACAGCTCACTGCACCCTCAACCTCTCTTGCTCAATCCTCCCACCTCGCCTTCTGAGTAGCTGGGACTACAGGCACACATCACCACACCTGGCTAATTTTTCAGTTTTTATACTTTGTAGAGATGATGGGTTGTTGCTATATTGCCCAGGCTGATTTTGAACTCTTGGGCTCAAGTGATCCTCTTGCCTCAGTCTCCCAAAGCAGTGGGATTACAGGCATGAGCCAAGCCACTGTGTAAACCCAGCTGCTTAGGTGCTTTTTAAAATATTACAGAAGGGGTGGCTAAAAAGGAACCAGATTATGGGGGGCTTTGAGTGCTAGGCTAAGCAGTTTGAACGGTATCCTGTAGGTGATAGGAAATCATTAATGGCTTTTGAACTGGGAGGAGAAGGAGTGGGTAACAGGATGAAAAGGATACAGTTAATGGTAGAGTAGAATACAGAATGGATTGCACGGAAGAAGCATGGCCATGAAATAGTGCAATGATTAGGGCACACGAAAAGACAGTAAGATGTGGGAACCAGGCGTGGTAGGAGGGTCAGTTGAGGCCAGAACTTCAGGACCAGCAGGGGCAACATAGCAAGACCCTATCTTGGCCAGGTGTGGTGCCTCACACCTGTAATCCCAGAACTTTGGGAGGCTGAGATGGGAGGATTGCTTGAGGCCAGGAGTTCGAGACCAGCCTGGTCCACATAACAAGACCCCATCTCACATTAGTTAAAAAAAAAAAAAAAAAGGCCCTGTCTCTAAAAAGATTTTTTTTTCTTTTAATTAGCTAGGCCACAGTGGTGTGAACCTGTAGTCCCAGCTACTCGAGAGGCTGAGGGGCGAGAATCTCTTGAGCCTAGGAGTTTGAGGTTGCAGTGAGCTAGCCACTCAACTCCAGCCTGGGTGACAGACTGAGACCCTCTTTAAAAATTAAAGAAAGAAAGAAAATAATATGCTTTGTAATAATAACAACAACAATACCTAACTCTTACTGAGCGTGTCCCATATGCCAGGCCCTGCACTACAGCTTTATTTTTCACCACAATCCTGTAAGATTGTCACTCTTACCCATGTTTCATAAGAGGAGTTCAAAGTCTAGGGTATTCTCTGTGGAGTGCAGAGCTGAGTGGTGGGCCCTGAACATCCACTTAAAGGACACACAAATAACCAGGCATCCGAGGAAAACACTAACAATGGGGTGAGAGAACTGAAGACAAGAATAATGGGTTTCAATGGATTCTCCTAGAGCCCATATTTTCTAACTGGTGAGTGTGGGGTGAGTCAAACTTTGCGTTACTGGAAGGAGAAGCAGAGTTGAGGGGTAAGTGGAGAATCAGTAGCTCTGAATTGTGGATAGGGAAGTGAGTGGTTAAGAAGTGCTGAGGCCATCCCGATCATAGAATCATCTGATTTTATACCAGAAAGGGGATTAGATTCAGTTTTTTAATTTCACAGCCCTGGAAACTTAGACCCTATAAAGGTTAAGTGATTTGCCCACATAGATTTCAAAGATCTAGGGAGACTATCTGAGGAACTCATTTTCCCAAACTTAAGTTTCCAACAGACTTCAGTATCCCAATCCAGATTCTGGACAAAGATAATGAGAAACTGGTACCAATTGCCACGAAAGTGAAACTCAGTTAAACCAGAGTGGTGCTGAGCAAACTATTACATTAGGCACTCATCTATTATAGAGGATATATTTCAAAGACAGAGGGATGTAATGGAGAAGCATTTCCTAAGGAAACCGAGAGCCCTTTTCTATCTCAGGTTTCTTTTTATTGAAGCTTGAAGCTCAAGTTCATGGCTTCATCAAAAAACGCTTCAAATCCTGAAGTTGAGATAGCTCTCACCTGGAGCCCGTGTGTTGTTCTATCCTTTGCCTGGGAACACAGTCACCTGGGAATCATTCCAGCAGGTGGCTTCCAAAGTCCAACCTGCTAGGTTGAAATCTGACACTGACACAGACTCCGGGAGCTGCGGCGGAAAGCTCAACCAGGAACCCGGAAATGCACAAGCCTCTTGATGCATAAAAACAGCTGGGCTCCCTTGGAGACAGCGCGCCATGGGAAACCGGGTCTGCTGCGGAGGAAGCTGGTGAGTAGGGTGGAAGGGCAGAGGGGAACATCTATCTCTATTGGTGGATGTAGAGCCCCCCGAAAATCAGAGCACCTGGAGATAATTGTCTGCCAGCCTCCCACTGCCACCTTCCTTTGCCTGGTACCTCCTTGTTCCAACACCAGAGCTGCACCTCCTTTCAGGAGACCTTAGAAAACAGAGCCAAGTGGCCGGGCGCGGTGGCTCACGCCTGTAATCCCAGCACTTTGGGAGGCCAAGGCAGGCAGATCACCTGAGGCCAGGAGTTTGAGACCAGCCTGACCAACATGGAGAAACTCTGTCTCTACTAAAAATACAAAAAAAATTAGCCGGGCATGGTGGCACATGCCTGTAATTCCAGCTACTCGGGAGGCTGAGGCAGGAGAATCGCTTGAACCCAGGAGGCAGAGATTGCAGTGAGCTGAGATCACACCACTGCACTCCAGCCTGGGAAATGAGAGCAAAACTCCGTCTAAAAAAAAAAAAATTAGGCCGGGCGCGGTGGCTCAAGCCTGTAATCCCAGCACTTTGGGAGGCCGAGATGGGCGGATCACGAGGTCAGGAGATCGAGACCATCCTGGCTAACACGGTGAAACTCCGTCTCTACTAAAAAATACAAAAAAACTAGCCGGGCGAGGTGACAGGCGCCTGTAGTCCCAACTACTCGGGAGGCTGAGGCCGGAGAATGGCGTAAACCCGGGAGGCGGAGCACTCCAGCCTGGGCGACAGAGTGAGACTCCGTCTCAAAAAAAAAAAAAAAAAAAAAAAAAAAATTAGCTAGGTGTGGTGGTGCACGCTTGTAATCCCAGGTACTTGGGAGGCTGAGGCAGGATGATCATCTGAGCCCTGGGGGTCGAGGCTGCAATGAACCATGATCACACCACTGCTCTCCAGTCTGGGTGACAGAGAGACCCTGCCTCAAAAATGAAAATAAAAATAAAAGGGCAGAAGTAGGAAAAAGAAGAATATCCATGGGATATCTGAGTATGACTTTCACACTTATTTACTATGTGACCATAGGTAATAAGTCCCTTAATTTCTCTGTATTCATCCTCATATATAAAATATAGATAATACATCCTACATTGTGTAGATCACAGGCTTATTTTGAAGAGCAAAGGATATACTGTATGTTAGAACCTCGTAATAAATTATCTGTGGCCCTGTTACTGTTCTTTCCCAGAATTTTCATCACTGCCATGCCATAAATTCCTGGTCCTGGTTTTATCCTGTCTACTGCCTTCCATGCTTGGGGCAGATCTTGAGAATGTCATGTTATAAATAAAGCATCATTTTATTTAGATAGACAAGTGAAGTGCATTGGAAAACACATAGGTTTTGTAGTAGTACATTGGATTCAAGTCCTGCCCTACTACTCATTCATTTATCCATTCATTTATTAAACAATGTTTATTGGACATGTACTACAGGCACAGTGATAGACACAGAAGACACAGTAATAAAAGGACATTTGGTCCCTGCCTTGTTGAGTAAGAAATACCCTGAAGGTCCAACATTTGGTAACTGTCTAAATACATGGCATATCCAATTAATGGAAAATATGTAGCCACTTCATAAAGAATGTTGGAAGAACACCTAACATCATGGAAAATTTTACTCTTTATTAAGTTAGTAAAAAAGGGCATTAGTTGACCCATCTGTAAAATGGGAACAAAAATATGTGTTTCCTGGAATGTCAGGATTGACAAAATAAAGCACCCTTTAAACTCTGAGATGCCTTATAGACACAGGACATCCAGAAGCACAGAAAAGCTTCCAGAGAAGGGGATATAACAGCTTCTTTTATTCTGTCTCTTCCCAAGTGTTGGTATTCTTTTTTCATTACTGGTTAGTTCTCTGATGGTGATAGTCATTAGTGGTCAACTTTTACTGATGCTTATTATATGCTAGGAACCATGCTAAGTATTTTATATTTCCTGTTTTATTTAATCCTTACAATAATACCATGAGGTCTGAATTCTATTATCACACTCATTTTTTTTTTTTTTTTTTGAAACAGAGTCTAGCTTTATCGCCCAGTCTGGAGTGCAGTGACACAATCTTAGCTCACTGCAACCTTAGCCTCCCAGGTTTAAGCGATTCTTGTGCCTCAGTCTCCCTAGTAGCTGGGATTACAGGCGCGCCACCACGCCCAGCTAATTTTTGTATTTTTAGTAGAGACGGGGTTTCACCTGTTGGCCAGGCTGGTCTTGAACTCCTGACCTCAAATGATCGCTCGCCTTGGTTTCCCAAAGTGTTGGCATTACAGGCGTGAGCCACCTCACCCGGCCTATCATACTCATTTTATTAATAAGAAAACAGAAGCCCAGAGAGGTTAAAAATTTGCTGAAGGTCTCACAGCTAGTCTGACCTCATCAGTCTGACTCCAGAGCCCATTCTAGAGACACTATACCAAACAGTCCAACCAAAATCTTTTTTTCCTCTTAAAATACTAGTAGGATTGAATAAAACTTTGTTCTCGGCCGGGCGCGGTGGCTCAAGCCTGTAATCCCAGCACTTTGGGAGGCCGAGACGGGTGGATCACGAGGTTAGGAGATCGAGACCATCCTGGTGAACACAGTGAAACCCCGTCTCTACTAAAACTACAAAAAAACTAGCCGGGCGAGGTGGCGGGCGCCTGTAGTCCCAGCTACTTGGGAGGCTGAGGCAGGAGAATGGCGTGAACCCGGGAGGCGGAGCTTGCAGTGAGCTGAGATCCGGCCACTGCACTCCAGCCTGGGCGACAGAGCGAGACTCCATCTCAAAAAAAAAAAACAAAAAAAAAAAACAAAAAAAAACTTTGTTCTCTATTTTTTGTTATCTCAATAAACCTCCAGAGGCTTAAAGATATTATGGCAATTGAAGATATTTTTATTTTAAAATATTCTTTGTTGTTATTGTTTCTGATTACAAAGGTAATAATCATTCATCGCAGAAAATTTAACTTCTGCAAAGAGCAGAAAATAAAAAGCAGCCATAAACATAAGCACCCAGAGATGATGGGAACATTTTAGTGTATTTCCATATATTTTTTAAATGTGCACAGTTTTTATTCCAAAACATATCTTTTTACTAACTTAATAAAGAGTAAAATTTTCCATGATGTTCGGGTCCTTCCAACATTCTTTATGACATGGCTACATATATTCCATTAATTGGATATGCCATTTATTTAGTCAGTTACCAAATCATGGACCTTCAGAGTATTTCCTATTTTTTGCAATTTAAATAATGTTATAATGAATATCCATATTTGTACATGTATAATTATTTCTTAGGATATGGAATTGCTACATCAGAGGGCATACACATTTATGTTTAAGGCTTTTTATACTTATTGCCAGTTGCATTCTAGGAGGATTGCACAAATTTTTATTCCTATTACTACTGTAGAAGAGTGCCCACTTAGTATCCTTAAATCTAAAAATAAAATCTCATCACCTGTGAATCTAAATGAATATTCACTCCATTTGGGTTGTGTCCCAGCATTGCACAATATCTAACTTGAGAAGAGGCTCTGTTCACTAACATTGGATAGCCCTAGTCTATGTATTTTAGGATTAATATTTTCTCTATCCATTTAAATAAAAATAAGTAGGTAAAGAGTAGTAACAAGTGGTAAAGAATTAGAAGATTATCTCGTTCTTAGGATAAGGCTGACTGAGCAGCGGTAACATAAAGCAAGAGCTGAAGTGACAGAAGAAGTAGAAAAACACAGAAGTAGTTTTTCTTCTGAACCACCTGTAGAGTTTGGCTGGAGACTCAACTGCTGTCAACTGAGCAAGCTGTAGCAAAACCAAAAGTCACATCAAAACAGAAACCTTTGTCAAATGTGTGTGGAAAAATCCTGACTTTTTTCCCCACAGTAGTCCTCATGATTTGGACGTCAGTCTTCTCTCTCTCACCCTCACCAATTAGCAAAGAAGGAAACTTCCCAGGAGATGAGAGATCAGAAAGACAAACAGGGTTGGCTCTGGCAAGAGTTGGAAATATACTAGCAAGAAAGCAAGAAAAAGAATCTGGAGTAAGCCCCAAACTATTTAGCCTATTTCCTCAAACAGTGTTGTCTCTCTGGCATCAAACAGTTAACAATCACATAGACACACGGGCGCCACTGGGGACCCTAGGGGCTCAGAAATAAATATAAGAGGTCTGCCCTACAGTGAGGGCAGGATAGCTGAGTCACTCACCAAATGCAGTGCTCCCTGTTCTGTAGACAAAGTTCTCTAAAGGATGCTAAAGGTTAAACATCTCTCACTTTCTCTGTTAATTAAAAACAAGGACAAGGAAGCAGGGAGGGAGGTCACTTGTTAAGAAAGGGCCCTAAGGGGTTGTAATTAGTTAGCCCTGGTTGTGGCAGCTTCCAGGGCTCCCAGAATAAAAGTCCCAGATTGGCAAAGACCCCAGGGAAAAAAAAAGCACTGAAGAAGAGGCAAGAGGGTCTCTGGATCCAAGAATATTCCATCATTTGGCAGGTTTCCCTCACCCTCTGCTGGGAATTAGCCTGTTAGACAATCCCAGAATAGCTCTCAAGCCAGATACATCCCTGGCATGTAGTGCCTGGTTGCCTGAGGCTGTATTTTGGGTCTGGTTATGTCAGTTGTACTACTCCACCTTCCAGAACCATCCATGTGGGAGAGGTGTGGTACCCTTGACTAATGCTTTGAACCTGGCTCAGGGTGAATCTTTGTTAGAGGGAGGTAGGGGAAGGTCATCAGAATGTTAAGGAGACCACAGAGCAAATGATGATGGAGGGAGGGCAGAGGCCAGGGCTTCTTGCACATGGGTGATCTGTTTTTCCTATCACAGGAGCTGCCCATCAACTTTCCAGAAGAAAAAGAAAACAGGTAACTTTGGGGCTGGGGGAAGAATCTGGGGGAGGCAAATTAGAGAAGGCAATAGAACTGCCATCTTTGGAAAGGGCAGAAGGGTAGAAAAGGAATGAAGGGATAAAGGGAGACAGCACACCAAAGAGAAAAGAGAATCCAGGTTGCTGCGTTGAAGACTAGCTCTGAACCTCTGGATCTTATTCTTTCCATTATTTCAGAGTGGCAGGGTTGGTTGCTCATTCTTTCATTCATCTAGCAAATACTTACTCAGCACTTATACTGTATGTGAGGACCTGTGTGGGTCCCAAGGAGGCAGAGAGGCACAAGAGGAAAGACACACGATCTCAGCTCTGGAAGAGCTGATAATCAAATTTAAGAGATAAATTCATATAAACAAACAGTTGTAATATCATCTACTGGTGCTATAACCGATGTGCACTCATGCTGTGGGAGAATGAGAGAAGACACTGATGTCAAAATGTCAAAGAAATAATAGCAAAGGACTGGGCGTAGTGGCTCAACGTCTGTAATCCCAGCACTTTGGGAGGCCAAGGGGGGCAGATCACTTTAGGTCAGGAGTTTGGGACCAGCCTGGCCAACATGGTGAAACCCCATCTCTACTAAAAAGAGAAAAATTAGTGGGGCATGGTGGTGTGTGCCTGTAGTACCAGCTACTTGGGAGGCCGAGGCACGAGAATTGCTTGAACCCGGGAGGTGGAGGTTGCAGTGAGTCGAGATCATGCCACTGCACTCCAGCCTAGGCAACAGAGCGAGACTCTGTCTCTAAATAAATAAATAAAAGCAAAGTTCATAAGTCAGCAGAGGAGGGAGAAGATGGTGTTTTAGGCAGATAAATCAGCTCATGAAAAAAAAAGAAAAGAGAGACTGACTTGATTCAAAGTGACTGATTGGTGTAGCTAAGCACTTACCATCTTGCATTGTAAGTCTGTTTACTTATTTTTATTTATTTGTCTTTCCTAGCAGGCTGTAAGCCCCCTGAGGTAGAGGAAACAGCTTACTCATCCTTCTACCACCAGAACATGGCACAGAGCCTGGCACATAATGGGTTCTCATGTTGAACTGTGTTAGGGGCTAGTGAAAAATGAGGATGGAAGATAATATGGCCAGATTGTGAAAGGGCCAGATTGTAAACCCTGCTAAGGAGTTTGGATTTAGGACTAGTAGACATGAAAGAAGTGAGAATGGAGGCAGGGAGATTAGACGGAAGCCTGCCGTGATAGTTTAATAGTGAGTTGAAAAGGCAGTCTCAACAGAGACAGGGAAGAGAGAATGAATTTAAGTTGGATTTCTTCCCCTCAGGAAGCCAAGCAAGACGGACACTGAAGCCACAGCCACGACAGCTGCAGCAGAATGGCCCAAAGGTAATGACAGGCCTCTGTCCCCTCTCCGGGGCTGCTCGGACATGGGATCCCAGTAGCCAGCTCTTTTGCCCTGCAACAGACACATTTCAGTCACCTGTAGAATTTGCTGGCTCTGTCTGTCCTCCTCTGCCCCTCAAAGGAGCAAAGCGAAGGGACATCAGTCGACCTGCCCCTGCATTGGAGGTGAGGGGCAAAACCAAGCCATGAATCTCCCTTAATGCTATCCATTCCTCGCAGGGCCATGAAACAACAGGACACACGTATGAGCGGGTGTTACAGCAGCAAGGGTCTCAAGAGAGGAGTCCAGGCCTCATGTGGGAAGACAGCAACTTACATTATGCTGACATTCAAGTGTGCAGCCGTCCCCATTCCTGGGAAGCGAAACAAGTGCATTTAGAAGACGCTACAGAGTATGCGACCCTTCGCTTCCCCCAGGCCACACCTCTCTATGACAGCAAGAACGGGACCCTGGTGTGAGCCTTGGGGAGGAAGGCCCAGTCCATCGTTAACCACTACTCCTGTGGGGGAGAATCTACAGCTTTGGGGAATTGGGTGGCAACCCAGGGATGTTGGCCACGTTTTAAGCTTAAAGAACTCCAAAGCCCCAGGAATTGTGAGCGTCCCAGTTTCTCCCCTGGCCTCTTACTTGCCACTGTTAGGTTGGAGTTATAGTTGGTTTAGCTATGAGTGGATAGCTAAACTTAGGTAGCCACATGAGGTTAGGTGGAGTGTGCAGGGAGGTAGGTCTTCGACCTCACCATTGTTGCTCCTGCTCTTGAAAAGTGCAGAAAGAGCAGGTTAAAAGTTAGCCTATAAGCACGTGGGCTGATCTTGTCGGACTTTAATTAATGGTATCCTTTTTCACACACCTTAAACTCCAAAGCTGAAGGGGAGGTGCTCTGGAAAAGCATTCTGAGCTTTTACATTCAGACACCAGGGCTGGCTTGGGCTGAGTCAGGCTCCAGACCTTAACAGACAAATGGGGGAGGGGGCTGAGGCGTGGAGGAAGCGCTCTCCAACCATGGGCCTACAGAACCTCAAGACACTGATAACCGACAGCACAGCGAGGCCCGGAAACTTCCCTCGGAGGGACTGTTGGCTCTCGCAGGTGCGGGGCCGCTAGGATCAATAAATGGCCTGAGAAACATGCCTGGCGTGTTTTCTGGGGCGGGGCCCCAAGGCTCCTCGCGAGGACAGCGCATCCCGCCCAGTTTTAAGGGCGGTTCGAAAGTCCAGCCAGTAGAGAGGCCTTCCGGCCCCACCCCCAGGCCGCGGTTGGAGGCGGAGCTGGAGGCGGGTGGGGTTTGGGAATAACAGGGGGCGGGCTACCATTGGCAGAGGGCGCAGTTCCCTTGAGGTCCTTGCCGGGATTGGTTGTTGTCGGGGCTCCTGGGAGGCGGGTCCGGAACGGCAGTGGGAGGATCTGGGTCCGGGGGCGCGGGGGCGGTCAGGACCTGCAGGAGGCGGGATCCGGCGGGCCGGAGGCGGGACCAAGGCCGGCAGGGGCTGGCTCGGGCTGGCTGGAGGCGGGCGGGGCCTGTGGCCGGCCTCCGCATCACCATGGCAGCGGGAATGCCGCGGCAAAGCCAGAGCAGGGGCAGGCCCAGCCCAGGAGGGCTGGGGACAGAGATGCTGAACCAGACGGACCCATAATTTAAGAGGTAGGTGCTGAAAGGTGGCGGGTAACAAAAATATTACCCAAGTTGATCATCCACATCGAAACTGGGGACACGCGGAGGTGGCGAGGTTGAAGCGGGTAGGAGGAGGCTAAAATTTCAAAGACCAAACCCACTCTCAGCCTTGTACATTCTTAGTGTGCAGTTTCCTGCTTCAGACTTTAAGAGCTTGGAGAGGAGGGGTAACGCACTCCCCTTTCTCAGTCTGTTCTCCGTTCTCCCCAAATACCGCTGTCTCTCTGCTGGTCCCTAAGAGGGATGATTAAAGACTGGTAGAGTACTGAAAATGAAATTGTAGCACACGCACACACAAAAGTTGGCAATGATAGTATCCGCCTGGCGCGGTGGCTCATGCCTGTAATCCCAGCACTTTGGGAGGCTGAGGCGGGCGGATCACCTGAGGTCTGGAGTTCGAGACCAGCCTGGCCAACATAGTGAAACCTCGTCTCCACTAAAAATACAAAAATTAGCCAGGCATGGTGGCACGGGCCTGTAATCCCAGCTACTCAGGCGGCTGAGGCAGGAGAATCGCTTGAACCGGGGAGGCGGAGGTTGCAGTGAGCCGAGATCTCGCCACTGCACTCCAGCCTGGGGGACAGAGCAAGACTCCATCTCAAAAAAAAAAAAAAAAAAAAAAAAAAAAAAAAATAGTATTAGCTCCATAAAGTGTGAGAATTTAAAGCACTTGCAACAAGTACATAGTTTGTAGTCAAATGTTGGCTGCCATTATATCATTACCATTATCACTTTTTCCCGGCCTGTTGTCTGGCAAAGAGTCAATGCAGGCAGATTCAGAAAAGGTGGGTTGGAGGGCTGCCCCCACCACTAATTGGTGGAGAAACTCTGTAGCCTATTTTCTATATATTAAATGAAGGTGGCCAGGCGCGGTGGCTCACGCCTGTAATCCCAGCACTTTGGGAGTCTGAGGCGGGCGGATCACCTGAGGTCAGGAGTTGGAGACCACCCTGGCCAACAATGAGAAACCCTGTCTCTACTAAAAATGCAAAATTTAATGGCCATACCGCCCTGAAAGGCGCTCGATCTCTTTTGATCTTGGAAGCTAAACAGGGTCGGGCCGGGTTAGTACTGGCGGGGCGGGGTGGCTCCTGTCTATAATCCTAGCACTTTGGGAGGCCGAGGTGGGTGGATCACCTGAGGTCAGGAGCTTGAAACCAGCATGTCCAACACATGGCGAAACCCTGTCTCTACTAAAAATACAAAACATTAGCCAGGCGTGGTGGCTGACGCCTGTAATCCCAGCTACTCTGGGGGCTGAGGCAGGAGAATCGCTTGTACCTATAGGTGGAGGCTGCAGTGAGCTGAGATCGCGCCACTGCACTCCAGCCTGGGCTGCAAAGCGAGACTCCATCTCAAAAAAGTTTAAAAAAAAAATTAACCTGTTTTCAGAGATTATTTACTGCAAAGGTCAAATAAGATGATGTAGATGATAGTACTTTGTAAGCTTAAAGTGCAATATACACATTTCTGCCTTAGAATTATACATGCCGGGCCAGGCGCGGTGGCTCACGCCTGTAATCCTAGCACTTTAGGAGGCCAAGGCAGGCGAATCACCCAAGGTCAGGAGTTGGAGACCAGTCTGGCCAACATGGTGAAACCCCATCTCTACTAAAAAATTACCAAAACTTAGCCGGGTGTGGTGGCACGTGCCTGAGGTTCCAGCTGCTTGGGAGGCTGAGGCAGGAGAATTGCTTGAACCTGGGAGGTGGAGGTTACAGTGAGCTGAGCTTGTGCCACCGCACTCCAACCTGGGCGACAGAGCAAGACTGTCTCAAAAAAAAAAAAAAAAAAAAATTATACATGTTGTCTCTCTGGGTTAAAACTCAGTTTCTGAGGATAGAGGGAAGTAAATGCCAGTAGCAGAGCTTCCAGTATTTCTTCTGATTATCTTCAGAATATTTCCTGTGGTCCTTGACTGATAAATATAGGAAGAAGGGAAAATGCATTGTTGCTTGACTAATGATAGGGGAGTATTACTCTTCACTTTATTACTATTAATACCTAAACAACTAGGTTTAGAAATGCCACTGGGTTAGCTGGGTGTGGTGGTGCACATCTGTGGTCCTAGATACTTGGGAGGCTGAGGTGGGAGGATCTCTTGAGCCCAGGAGTTAAAGGCTGCAGTGAGTTATGACAGCGCCAGTGCACTCCAGCCTGAGTGCCGGAGCAAGACCTTATCTCTCTAAAAAAAAAAAAAAATTTTTTTCAAATGCCACTGGGATAGCCCTGTTGTGCTTGTAATATCTTCAGCTGGACTTCCTGCTAACTAGGGTCCTGTTTCTGATACTTCAAGATGACTTAAGTTGGTAGGTTTTGGGGAGGGGCCTGGCCCCAACTAAGTTAGTTTAGCTTTAATTTTTTTTTTTTCCTGGCCTGTTATTTTGTACATTTCTTATTCTTCCTGTTTTAAGGTGGCCCTGATTCATCTCTTCTAGGGACTCTTGAAGATGGGGACCCAAGTGGTTATGAGATTTACTAACTCCTTGCTGCCAACAGAGCCTTCTGTAAGTTTTTGGTGTATTGTTGTGAAAAGCGTGATGATGTTACTGGAATTTCAATACGGTTCTACTTCTGGGGATTTCTCCATCAGGACTCAGATCCTGAAACAGAATTTTAATATATTTGTCTTATTTTTTTGCTTTTCCTTCTTGTGGAAATTCTATTAATAGCTCTCTTGGACCTTGATTCATCTTTTTCTGCAATTAATAAAATGAGGCAGGGGTTGAGAAATTCTAGCAATTAATCAGAATATATGCATTTTAAAAATATTTAAAGTTTGTTACAGCAATAATGTATGTTAATTACAGAGCATTGGAAAAATATTGCAAACTATGATTTTGAAAACTGCAAACCATAATTCTCCCACCCAGAAGCACACTGTTATATTCTGGAAAATATTCTTGCAGTCTTTTTTTCTGTATATATATACACACACACACATATATGTACATATATATATATATTTTCTTTTTTTTAAAGACAGAGTCTCGCTCTGTCACCCAGACTGGGTGCAGTGGCGCGATCTCAGCTCACTGCTACCTCCTCCTCCCGGGTTCAAGCAATTCTCCTGCCTCAACCTTCTTAGTAGCTGGGACTACAGGCACGTGCCATCACACCCAGCTAATTTTTTGTATTTTTGGTAGAGATGGGGTTTCACTGTGTTAGTATATTTTTAACATGAGATCATATGCTGTGCAAACTTTTTAACTTGCTTTGTTTCACTTAACGTTAACATAAAATTGTTAAAATTTTTTGTTTTAATGTGGGCACGTTTGGTAAACATTATAATGGCTGTAATTTTCTTAACCACTTCTCTGTTGTTGGACTTTTAGGTTCCCTCACCCCTGCCCCCCACATTGTAAATAATTAATTTCCTTATTTAGGACTATGTCAGGTCAGGTGAGGTAGTGGCTCATGCCTGTAATCCCAGGACTTTGGGAGGCTGAGGCCAGAGGATTACTTGAGGCCAGGAGTTAAAGACCAGTCTGAGCAACACAGTGAGACCCCCCTTTCTTTCTTTCTTTTTTTTTTTTTTTTTGAGAAGGAGTTTCATTCTTGTTGCCCAGGCTGGAGTTTAGTGGCACCATCTTGGCTCACTGAAACCTCTGCCTCCCGAGTTCAAGTGATTCTCCTGCCTCAGCCTCCCAAGCAGCTAGGATTACGGGTGCCCACCACCATGCCCGGCTAATTTCTGTATTTTTAGTAGAGATGGGGTTTCACCGTGTTGATCAGGCTGGTCTCGAACTCCCGACCTCAAATGATCCACCCGCCTCAGCCTCCCAAAGTGCTGGGATTACAGGCATGAGCCATCATGCCTGGCCGAGACCCCCCTTTCTACAAAAAATTTTAAAATTTGCTGGGTGTGGTGGCATGTACCTGTAGTCCCAGCTACCTGGGAGGCTGAAAGTGAGGTGGGAGTATTGCTTGAGCCTGGGAGGTCGAGGCTGCAGTGAGCTGTGATTGTGCCTCTACACTCTAGCCCGGGTGGTAGAATGAGACACTGTCTCAAAAAAAGATTTTTTAAAGACTTATGTCAGGCCAGGTGCTGTGGCTCATGCCTGTAATCCCAGCACTTTGGGAGGCTGAGAGGTGTGGATCACCTGAGGTCTGAGACCAGCCTGGCCAACATGGTGAAATGCCATCTTTACTAAAAAAAAAAAAAAATTAGCTGGACGTGGTGGCAGGTGCCTGTAATCCCAGCTGCTTAGGAGGCTGAGGCAGGAAAATCACTTGAACCCAGGAGGCAGAGGTTGCAGTGAGCTGAGATTGTGCCAATTCCAGCCTGGGCAACAGAGGGAGACTCCATCTCAAAATAAATAAATAAATAAACAACCAAATAAATAAATAAATAAATAAATAAGGCCGGGCGCGGTGGCTCAAGCCTGTAATCCCAGCACTTTGGGAGGCAGAGACGGGCGGATCACGAGGTTAGGAGATCAAGACCATCCTGGCT